CAAAGTACATGGGGAAATCATTGGTGAGTATACGGGTGATTCTTGGTGTGTGGAGATCATCAAGCTGAGCCAATTCTTCCGCGTCAAACGACTCGTTCAGCACCTACAATAACCACAACATTATCGAAGACAGAACACGGGAACACATAACTTCCACTTGTTTTCGGAAAGTTCACGATCAACTGTGGAAAGCATGAATCACCTCCTGTACTGCGTCCTCGGTCGCTTCAAGCTGGTGCTCTTTCCAGTGTTGGCCGTCATCAGAACGTAGGATGACTATTTCACGTTCGCGATCTCGAAGAGATGCGAAATGTGGCACCTCTAAGATGACAGGTCCGAGGAATTTGGCACCAGCTGGTGCCATCTCGAGGATTCTAGACGCCAGTTCTTCGCCTTCACTGAGAGGCGGTGGATGGGCTAATTTATCCTATAAGAATTTGAACTTCTTTTCTGGAAACAGCAGTAGGTATTGATTTGCCTCCTACCTTCCTAAGATAGCGGCAGGTGACCCGAACAGGCTGGCTGGCTTTTCGGGGTGGAATGATGATTCGCACGCCAGAGTGGCGGCATCCACGCATCGCTCCACCTCGAGCATCCACCAGAAATGAGATCAAGAAGCTGAAATGGACCTCGTTAAAAGATACATGGTTGAGTTAAGGAAAAACAGTACGCTACTTTAGAAGCCTACGAAAGATCTAGGCATCGCTAGGAAACACGCCAAGTTCAGTACAGCACAATGCATATGTGCCTTTGTAAGCATTACAGCCAGGTCTGGGCTATGAGACCGAAACATTCCTAGCCTAGCCATCCTAATAAACAGACTCGACATTTCTAGGAAAAAAGTGAAGCGAGAAATGCTCAAAAAGACCTTGAATGAATTCATGGAGTTCTTTTTTGGATCAGGGTACTGCCATACTACTATTTACTTATTATTTGCAGCTTTCACGCTGACAACCTCTGGCAGCAATGTTCTCTGTCTTCCTCATGATTATAGATTCTAGCGGTCGATCAATCACTCTGTGAATCAAATATTTTACACTGCTTTCTGTCCACAGTGGGCGTGTTCACAATTCCACTCCTCCCATACTTTGGTATATGAGGACAAGAGATTGGAGGTGCTGATGCGCTTAGTCACATCAGACTGCTCCCAGTCTCGAGAGAAGGCCTCTAGTCATCAGCCACATTAGCTACCAGTCACCAGCTACCAGTCGGCGTTACCCAAAAATGAAAGGGAAGGAATGTTTCAGTCTTACAGCAGACACCCTGAAAGCGTAAGTGGTGCACTGTGAATTGTGTGGATAACTAACTTTTAGTACAGAAGTATTGACTAATACTAAGTTCCTTATCGAGACCAGACACATTAGCTACCAGTCACCAGCTACCAGTCGGCGTTACCCAAAAATGAAAGGGAAGGAATGTTTCAGTCTCACAGCAGACGCCCTGAAAGCGTAAGTGGTGCACTGTGAATTGTGTGGCTAGCTAACTTTTAGTACAGAAGTATTGACTAATACTAAGTTCCTTATCGAGACTACGTATGAAAAGTCAGAAGAAAAAAAAAAGCTGCGAGACAAACAACAACTGGCATCTCGGTGTAAGTGTCGCTAAACGATCAGATAAGTGTGCGGCAGTGCGCCATCTACACAACTAATAAGCTGACGCGTGAGGTCATTCTAAACATCCATGCATGATTGTTTACAAACTTTAGCCATCAGCGATATGCGTGCGCGTGTGTGGGTTCCAAGCATGCAATAATATAAAATAAACTCCACAAAACTACAACACTACGAGTGAATAACAACTTACGTCTTATGCTGCAGTTTACTGTAAATATAAATTTTAATAACTTTCTAGTTGTGCTGCAAATCCTTTAAATTCAATAGAGACGCCCCGGTCTCAAAATTGCAATAAAGCAAACTCGTAAATGAAGAAAAGGTGAATGGGTAAAAATGTGAAGTTCTTTCTTACCTAGGTTGAGCCACATTATGCCCAATTGGTACGTTATCATTGGCAGTGAATGAACGATCCAAAACAGACGTGTCGTTGACCGCGGTGTGCATTGGTTGAGCCTAAAACAGCGTATTACTACAGCCCTTTCTTCAGAACAATTCTTTTGGAAAGAAATCCACGGGTGACACATTAATCCGTCAGCTGACATCAGTAACTCAGTCCATCACAGAGAACTGCCGGAAAAAGTCAATCCACTTCTTCTCTCTAGTGACCACTCAACTTTTTGTCAACTCTACCAGATCGTGTCCTTTTTCTTTTCCAATAGCTACGTCTACTGAGCCCTATTTTCGAGCAATCAATCTCCCCATTTGAAATTTTATGATCATCGTCAAATACAAATATGATGCCCATACACTTCCATTAAAGTTTATGGACCCCTATTTTTTAAGTTGATAATCATCAGAATCACAAATACCTGTGCTTTTCGTATGAGTTCATCTAGTTTGTCAGGTCCATCAGCCGTTGCAACTGTAGCTATTCTGGGAATGCTTCCATCGAATTCAGCGCTCTTTGATAACAGCTGCAATTGCACTATTAACTGAGTTAATAATTGTACGATGAAAATATATACGACACAAAACGACGAGTGCAATAGTGCACGGGGCGGCAGTGGCTCATATGCCCGTCAAACCATCGTTTAAAATACACACATATGCGCATGGCACTGGCGCGTAGTATTTCGCGACGATCGAGACAGCAAAAGCGTTCTTCGTCATAATGCGATAGATATCTACTAATTTACAAATTACCAGATGCGCCCGCCATGTGCGAGCTATGACTAGTTTCAGTAATCAATAGACTACGACCCAAGACCACAAAAAGAAACCCGTCATTAGCTGTCCTTACTATCAAAGGTGGTGATTCGTCTCTTAATCATAAGCG